TCTGGATTCTGAAGCCAACCATAGATTTCTTCCCAGGTGATGATACTTCCTATACTTATTAACTGAATCCATGGATATGGAGGGGATGGATGTGGTTCTTCTTTTAATTAGATTGGCGTTTCTCAACCTTGACAACTTGAAGATATGTTGACTTCAATTCCCAGAATTCCCCAGCCAGCATGGGGAATCTTCAAGTTGCCAAGGTTGAGAAATTTAAATAATTTTATGTACTTTTCCATCAGGTTCAGGTCAAGCATGAACCTTGTGGAACCCAAAGGTGCTTTTCCAAAAGGCAACTGGACTCTCTTGGTTTTTTCTTTTAAAACATTCAGAGACAACCGTGATCTGGATGATTGAGAAGCTCCATAGACATTGAGCCTTGCTGAAGCTCATTTGAGACTTTGAAAAAAATCAGCACAGCTACTGATTCCTATGGTCAACCTAGTGTCCCAGCCAAGACCCACAAATGGATTAGACATCTTTCTCTTTCCCTGATCAATCCGTTGAATCACTATTTTGAAAAAGAAAAAGAATGGAGGTTTAGAGGATTCAAACAGGATAAAGACTAAATCAGTATTATTAAATCTTTTTACTGAAACTAAAGAACGCTTGCCCTTTCACTTGCTGTGGAACCAAACAGATTTCCACCTCCACATTCATGGCATATATTAGTGAGGTCTGTGCTGTGTAGGTGTTTTCAAGGTGTTTTATGTGTAAGCAAGCGCAAATCACCTTATGTGTGATAGCTAGTTCTAATTTGTATAAAATAGAAGGTGGGGGAAATGCTCAGGAAAAAATAAAAGCTGGACAATGTTAAAAGAAAGAACGTGACAAGCGCTGTTAGAAACAGGAGTACAATTTTTCTTAAGTTCCAGCTGTTAGTCATAATTTTCCTAGATTCAGGTTGTTATGGACCTGTCATCGGAACATTGTCCATGTAGTGGTAATAATCACCCATAGTTTTCATTCTTTCCACAATGTAAAATAAATGAATAGTAAACCTCTTCTACCACTGTTGCACTATTTTATATATGTAAGAGGAAAACACATTTCGATATGATTGAAGAGGCTATGGTTGACTTGAATAATTGTCATTGGAGAAAGCCAGGATAAGTCTGTACGTCTGTAGGAGACAAGATTAACCTCTGTCTCCTCTAAATGGAAAAGACCATCCTGATCGTCTATTACAGATATGTCATACACAAGGCCCGGGGGCCGGATGCGGCCCGCGAAGTGGTTTCATGTGGCCCGCGAAGCCATCCTGGAAACAGTGAGGGAACGGCCCCTTCTGCCTTGGCCCTGGCCCAGGCCGGCTGGGAGCCAATGTACAATTTTGTGGTGGCCATCTATGCTGAAACGCATTCAGTCTTAGCTCCATAAGCCCCCCCTCCCACATGGCCTGAGAGGAACAGTGAGGCTCCTCCAGTGGACCATGCCTTGGCACTTGCCCCGGTCCCACCCCCTTCTGCCAGAGATCCTCAGATCTATCCCACTCCTGCCCAGGCACCTTTGACACGAACGATGTAGAGCTGGCCACGCCCACCCAGTAGGCCACACCCACCCGGCCCCCTGAGGGCAACCGCAATGCTGATGCGGCCCTCAATGAAATTGAGTTTGACACCCCTGGTCTATTATGTTTTGGAAGACACGGGCAGTCTGGGAAGAATAGCCTGAAAACTCTCCAGGTGGGACCTTAGGAGACTAGTATGCTCCCCTCCCTTTTCTGTAAGCTGATAATCAGCTTCTTCCATCTCCTATAGATGCCATGGAAAGAACAACTCAAAACAATGCTTGGGAATCAAATAAACTGTAACCAAATAATCTCACTGAGGATGATTTGTAAATCAAAGGAGGAACCCACTTTGAAGGGAGGAGTCAAATCAAGGGCTCTGAAAGATTTGGTGGTCTATGAAAGTGTTTAGGACTCTCCCCAGTTTTTCTATGGCTTCTGAAGTGGCTCCTAGCAATATACGTGATTGTGATTTCACTTCCATACATACAGAGTATAGGGTGAAGGGGCTTGAATAGTGCAATGGAGTCCCTCACATTGATGTGATTATCTAGCCCAGGAGTGGGGAATCTTGGTTCTTTTATGACTTGTGGACTTCAACTCCCAGAATTCCTGTGTCAGCTGGCTCAGGAATTCTGTGAGTTGAAGTCCACAAGTCATAAAAGAGCCAAGGTTCCCCACCCCTGATCTAGCCAATGAGTTTTATCAGCTCATTACAGGTAGTCCTCAATTTATGACCACGGTAGAGCCCAGAATTTTGGTAGTAAATTGCAGTCATTGCAGTCATCATGTGATCAGGTTTGATTTTGCAACCATTTTATGATGGTGGATAAGCGAGTCATTACAATTGTTAAGTGACTCAAATGGCTGTAAGTCTGAATCCAGCTTATCCAATGGGCATTTTTGCCATGTTTTGCTGGCAAACAGAAAAAAATAAATTGCAAAATGCAATCGCTTAACTGCAGGATGCTGCAACAGGTCATCAATGTGAGCCAGTTGCCAAGCACCCAAAATGTGATCTTGTGATCACAGAAGTGGTGCAGCAGTCGTAACTTTGAGGACATGTCCTAAGTAATTTTTTTTGAGCCCGTCATAACTTCAAACAGTCATCAAGTGACCAGTCATAAGTCAAGTACTACCTGTAAACAGTGGCCTTTGGGATGTAAACTCCTTTGGGATGGAAATTCCTTAGTTTTTTTTTTCCTGCTTGCCAAATGCTTGCTAATTCTCTATTAGGATTGCAATTTTTTTCTGTTGATGGGCAATATATTTGTGTATTTATTGCTTAATCTTTGTTGATCTGCCCTTGTGGATGAACTTACTTTCTCCCAAATCTAAATACTCAGGGTTAAAAAAGCAACAAGGCTACATGATGCAAAAAACTAAGGAGAAATTTCCTGACAGTTAGAACAATTAACCAGTGGAACAACCTGCCTCCAGAAGCGGTGAATGTTCCAAAACTGGAAGTTTTTAAGAAGAGACTGGACAGCCATTTGTCTGAAATGGTATAGGATTTCTTGCTTGAGCAGGGGTTTGGACTAGATGACCTCCAAGTCCCTTCCAACTATTATTATTATTATTATTATTATTATTATTATTGTTGTTGTTGTTGTTGTTGTTGTTATTATTATTATCTTTTATTCATTAAACATGAACCTCAGTCAACTGAACATTCAAATTCGCTGGTGCTGATGGTTGACACGGGTTGCTACCAGCATCCTAGGTGTCAACTAGGTACCGCCTTAAAATATAAGATGAACTTCACGGAAAGCTGGGGGTAGGTGACAAGTCTATATGGGACAGCTTGCTTTGGAGCAGGGCATTTTTTTCATCTCATACATAAGCGGGGTCAAACTGCCGTGTAAGTAGCACTTCTCCAGATATTTGATATTGTTACTCAGACATAAAGACAATAAACTGATTCTGGCCTTTCCTGCTTGTAGAACAAGCAAAGTCATGCTGTTACAATAACACACAATATTTAAAAGTCTGTTGCAGCCCTGGGGATGGCTGGTGGCCTGGAGACATTCCTTTAAATTTTAACCTGATTTATTTTTACTTATGTTTGAACTTACCCCCGTTAGAGCACAATTGGGACAGAAACTTTGGATGAAAAAAAAACTGGAAGGGCAAAACGCATCTTCCTTAGTGAGAAAGCTAAAACGGGTCAATGAATTTGTACAGAATGCGATAGTTGACAAATTGTTATACATGGCAAATCGTTATTATTTTTTAACTACAGAGAAAGCTCCATGCCATTTAAACAAGATCATGTTAGAACTAAAAACGGACAGACAAATCACAGGTGTTTCTTCTACCTTCTGCCCCTAGCATTCCTGCCTCCGATGTACATAATTAGAATAAATTATTTAAAAAAAGGTTCCTCAACCTTGGCAACTTTAAGACTTGTGAACTTCAACTCCCAGAATTCCTCAGCCAGCAAAGCTGGCTGAGGAATTCTGGGAGTTGAAGTCCACAAGTCTTAAAGTTGCCAAGGTGGAGGAACCCTGATTTAAAAGATGAAAATACATCCACATAGGTTTACCTGTACATGGCACCGGATTCTGACCTTTCCCTTATTATTCGCATTTCTGACGACAACCCACATTCTTCGCGTAGGGTTCTCGCGTCGAGGCTGCAACTCTTGAGGCGGCCGCCACGGGGCAACAAAGAGAGGTTGCGCCATCCCCCAAGAGAGATAACCACACAATAAAGCCCGTTCGTTGCCTCGGCGGCTTCCTCTATGGCAGTGTTTCTCAAGCTTGACAACTTTAAAGATGTGTGGACTTCAACTCCCAGAATTCCCCAGCCAGCATAGCTGGGGGTTGAAGTCCACGCATCTTTAAAGTTGTCAAGGTTGAGAATTCTGGGAGTTGAAGTCCACACACGTCTTAAAGTTGTCAAGGTCGAGAAACACCGCTCTACGGGGCCAAAAGAATAAGAAGATCAGCCTCTCCAACTTTCCGCGAGTCATTCCCGGAAGCTGCCTCGTGGAGCGCTTTGGCCTCTCCTGTTCCGCACTGGGGGAAAGCGACGGCCTCGGAGGAATCCTGCGCGCTTCTGCTTTTGGCCACGCAGCTTTTCTCCACGGCGGGCTCCGTTTCTTCAGCCCGAGTTTCGCCTGGGAGAATCGCGCCTTCCCCCCCCCCCCCCCCCCCCCCCCCCACCCGCAGAGCATCCTGGAGAGAAACGCGAAGGAGCTGGGAAGCAAGTCTTGATTGGGAGCCCCATCTTGCGATTGGGAAAAGTCCTGGCTTGACCCGCGCCGTCGGGCGGGTACGCCTCCTCGGCTCCCGTTTCTTCAGTGAACCGCCGTGGGTTGGTTTGGTGCCCCCTCCCTCCCCCAAACCTCACGATGGAGGGGAAATCCTAAGCCAGCCATGCCAGGGTTCTCGCAGGAGTAAACTCAAGCCAATGGCCAGGTCAGCTAGAAGGCGCCCGTAAGCGACGATCCCACATCTCGGTCTCTTTCCTTCTCGTTCAGGTGCTGCTGCGTGATTCGGGATGGGATCCAAGCTCTCCGTGGATGACTCCGTCCGCGTCGTCATAGTTGGAGGCGGCTTCGGAGGGATGGAAGCTGCCCGCCTCCTGCGGGATTGGGGGATCCCCTTCGTCCTCGTCGACATGAGAGATGCCTTCCACCACAATGTGGCTGCTCTGCGGGCTTCCGTACAGAGCGGTAACCTGTCGTCTTGGGATTCCCTTCATGTCTTCATGTCTTCTCCCAATGTAGGACTGTCTAGATCAGTGTTTCTCAACCTTGACCATTTTAAGGCATGCGGACTTCAACTCCCAGAATTCCACAGCCAGCAATGCTGGCTGTGGAATTCTGAGAGTTGAAGTCCGCATGCCTTAAAATGGTCAAGGTTGAGAAACACTGGTCTAGATCAGGGGTCTTCAAACTTGGCTACTTTTAAGACTTGTGGACTTCAACTCCTAGAATTCTGGGAGTTGAAGTCCACAAGTCTTAAAGTGGCCAAATTTGAAGACCCCTGGTCTACTCTAGATATATTGAATTAGAGCAGTGCTTCTCAACCGTGACAATNTGACAATTTTAAGACTTGTGGACTTCAACTCCCAGAATTTGAAGACCCCTGGCCAAATTTGAAGACCCCTGGTCTACTCTAGATATATTGAATTAGAACAGTGCTTCTCAACCTTGACAATATATCTACTCTAGATATATTGAATTAGAACAGTGCTTCTCAACCTTGACAATTTTAAGGCATGTGGACTTCAACTCCCAGAATTCCACAGCCAGCAATGCTGGCTGTGAAATTCTGAGAGTTGAAGTCCACGTGCCTTAAAATTGTCAAGGTTGAGAAACACTGAATTAGAACCTCCTTTGTCTCTAATATGGCTGTAATCCCAGAGATCTGGAAGACACCAGCTGGTGAAAAGTTTGTTTTAGGAGCAGTTGGGTGACCTCCGACTTCATTGGATAGATTTGATGGTTCTGAAACGTTGGGGAAAACAAAGGAAACATGAAGGCAAACTAAAGTAGCAAAAGGCCCTTTTATTTGTGTAGATTGGACCAGCGGTTCTTAAATGAGAATACTTATACCACTAGTAGGAATCAGAAGAAGTTATCTAGGTGGGGCACACAGGGTTAGTCATTTTACTCTGATTTTATTTACGCCTTGAAAGGTGTAGCATAAATGGTTAAATGCAAATAAATGCCGATACAATTTCTCATTAAAAGTGTTTGTGTGGTATTATTTCCACAGCACTAATTGATGGGACTTAGGAGATGAGAACTTGAGAATCTGCAGACTTTAGATGTGTTAAAAAGTTTTGTGGAGGTTTTTGACTCCCTACTCTTTACTAATTACTATGGATTCAATTTTTTCTGCATAATTTTATAGGATTTGCAAAAAAAACCTTTATCTCCTTCTCTGAGACCTTCAAAGAGAGTTTCCAGCAGGGCAAAGTAGTTGAGATCGATTTGGAGAAACATCAGGTCCTACTGAACGATGATAAAGTGAGTACCTCTGAATTAAACGTGTTAATTGTGAAAGAGTTACACAACAACTGTAACTTCATTCTAATATTCTTTCTTAGGTACTTTCATTTTCTCATCTGATCCTCGCCACTGGGAGTGAAGGGCCTTTTCCTGGGAAGTTTAATCAACTTATTAATATGGAGATGGCTATTCAGGCTTATGAGAACATAGTCAAGGAGGTGGGTGTGATTGGTAGAAGGGAAAGGAGTGTTCTTTGCTTGCCTTCCCCCCCCCCCCTCATGAGATGTGTATTAGTGAACTTCTCAAGGACCATCTATGGCTGGTTTATGGTATTTATATAATACCTGTTATTTATTCCAATATTTTTTTTGTTTAGGATTATATTTTTAAAAATATGACTTGGGCTTTCAAATTAGCCAACTCGTCTCATTCAACTTAGAAAATGTATATAATCACCCAACTTATGTAATCATGACTCTGAGCTATGTACATCAAGCTAAAAAAAATAACTAAAATACAGGTAATCCTAGACTTACAACCATTTGCTTTATTGACCATTCTAACTTACAACATTGAAAAAAAGTGACTTACAACCATTTTTCATCCCCATGGTCACATGAACAAAATTCAGATGTCTGGCAACTGGTTCATATTTATGATAGTTGCAGTGTCCTGGGGTCATGTGATCATTTTTGCAACCTTCTGACAAGCCAAGTCAATGGGGAAGCCGGATTCACTTAACAACCAAGTTACTAATTTGAAAACCGCAGTGATTCAGTTAACAACTGTAACAAATAGGGTCAAACTCATGTAACAAATGTCTTGCTTAACAACAGAAATTTTGGGTTCAATTGTGATTGTAAGTTGAGGACTACCTGTAAACCATACAAAGTCTAGGAAAAGAAACACAATCCAAAGCCAATGTACAGTGTCTAATTTTATTCAGCCTGGAAAATTCACTGAGGCTGGAGTTGAGAAATTGCCAGCCAGGCTAGAAGGAAGGGTCAAGCAAGGGTCTAGCTTGGAGTCCTTGTGCAGTTCCAAGTGAAATAAGCTTGACCTCATGCAAGGTCCATGAAGCCTTGTCTGGTCATTCCCAGGGGAAGACAAGCATCTGGGAAGATTCTTGTAATAGAAGTGGTAAATAATAGAGTTACTGATTTTCGTTGTTCATGAGTGGCTCTGGCTGCTTGCAGCTGACAGTAATCCATGTAAGCTGCACTGAAATCACTGAGCCTTTATTCTGTGTGAGTACATATAGGTTTAAATCGTATCAGCATGCTTCCCTGGTGTGTGGAAGTGAAGAAGACCTAAGAAATGTTATTACTGTGTGACTAGAGACAGTTCTAATCTAATGCAATCTACTCTAATTTGTATATAGATGAGCATCATGCTTGCAGTTAGAATTTGTATGAAAGAGCAAGTTAAACATATCCCTTTGCCTTGAGAATTTTGGATAATTTGGTTGAACATAGAATAGACAATATATCCTGAATGAAGAAAAAACCTTTTTGATCAAGGCTGCCAAGATTTCTAAGTATCAGTTCCCTTTCTAGTTAGAGAAAGGATTCCTGTTGAAATAACCTCTCTGAAGCTACGTGTTATCTAAAGTAATGGAACCCTGCACAGTATGACTCCATCTTGTTTTTCCTTTCGGTCTTGAAAGGTGGAAAAAGCTGAGCGGGTGGTTATCGTAGGTGGCGGTTCTGCTGGGGTTGAAATGGCTGCAGAAGTTAAGACAACATATCCTAACAAAGAGGTACAAAGTAACATCCTATTGCTCATTCACTCTCACCTTGTTTTGAAAGTTAAAATTCCTTATTATCTAGAGTCAATAGAGACAAAATGAACCGCTACAAACTGTTGAGTTGACCAAAAGAAAGAGAATAGATTGGATGTATTTTTGAGATATTGCCAAATTATACATAAGTATGAATTATATCAATTCAGTTACTAAAGCTTCTCCACTTCTATAAAATCTTAGAAACTGTAATGTGGTTTACAATTGTGCTTCTCTGGGAATCTCTGTGGAGGCTAAATTTGTCTTTACATGTGACTTGCATGTGGTGCAAATGCCTTGTCAGAGCTTCAAAGGGTTGGGAAGAAGATAAGGAAGCAAGGCAAGGGTGGGCAGCTGTGTTGCCCGATCCAATTTGGGTTTTTTAGAATGTGAGTGCAGTGTAATTTTATTTATCTATGTATCAAATTTAGAATCCACCCATCTCATTCACAGAGCAACTCTGGGTGGTATATTGTTCAAAGCATAAAAACCCTATAAATGTCATATTTCAATAGGAGGCAGTTAAAACAAGAATAGAATACTTGAAGTTAAAAAAGTGGTGGAGGGTCTTCAAGGTGGCAGCCAACCCCCAAGGTGTGTGATTCAGCAGAGCCAGGTCTCCAAACTCTTCCAAAAGGCCAGGAGAGTGGGAGGGGTGCTGCTTCTTTTCTGGGATGGGGAGTAAACCCCTCCCCCCATCAAAATTCTTCAATTGATGGGGTGTCTAACATATCTTCCCTGCCTGACTGGGTGGGATGGGCCGATGTAATGGGGAGATAGTTCTGGGGTGACCTGACTCCATGCTAAAGTTATCACCAACATCTTGAATTACACCTGGAAGCAAACTGGCACCCAGTACAGCTTGCGCACAGAAGTGTAACATGTGCCATCTTTCAGGCACCCCAAATTGCTCATGTCATGTGGCTGCATTTTGTACCAGCTGAAGCTTCCAGATACTTTTCAAAGGTAGCTGCATGTACAGCATGTTGCAGAAGTTCAGACGGAGATGATTAGGGCATGAATGATTGAGAGAAGGGCTTCCCTATTGTTTATCTGATCAATAATGAAATGTTCCAAGGAAATATTGGATAAGTAATTGAAATTATATGCAGACCCATTGAAACTTTAATGTGCCTACCCCTTGCCTTCAGCACCGTCTCACTATTTATTTACCAAACACTGACAACCAATTTTACTGTCATTTTCTCAAGTAGCAAGCCACTTGAAAAGAGTGATCAATAAAAGCTAGGATAAAAAAGTTGACAAAAGCAAAAAATCAAGGCCGATCTGTAAGACTTGTGAATGCTGTATCTGTACTTTGTTCTGGAATTGATAAGTTTATTTGTGAAAGGACTCTCTTCCCTTTCAAATGTCTGGTTTGATACATGCAGGCTATTCTTTAGGTGTCTGTAGGCAAAAATTTCTCTTCATTAGCCAAAAAGTATTTGGCAATAATAGCAAAGATACATAGTTTGCAATATTGTCAGAACTTTCTTGCTTTCTTTCCGACTTTTTGGAAACACTTGGTCAATGTAGAATAATAATAGCTATTTCATGTGTTCTAGCTACATACTGTACTTTTTTATTTGCTCTTAGTTCTGGACCATGAGCATGACTGATTATGGTCTTCAGCATGCCACCCAAGAGAGAAGTCTTAAAAAATGTACTCCCCATGTTTTAGGAGAGTTCTACCAGACTTAATTTCAAGTAAATACTTGTAGGACTGGAGGCTAATACTTATTAATAGATGTGAATGAATGCTCATATCCATTTTTCCTACTATCCACTTTGTCTAATTATTAGTGTAATTCTTGTGAATAACTGAGTTATAAAGGGATCCGAGTACAGCTTCTCATGTAAGGCAGAAAAGTGCAATCCATTGTCTTTTTTACTACAGTATTAGAATTTCTAGCCTGTAACATTTAAGCTTCATCTCTTCACCAAAATGTTGCAGAACTTGATGGATATCTGAATTTAGCTTCAGAAAAGCACTAGTCTTCTCACAGTGAAGTCACACCATGACATCTGGAAAATTACATGGCTTTCAGTGGCAAAAACAAGTATCTACATGGCTGGCTGGGGAAATCTGGGAGTTGAAATCCACAAGTTTTAAAGTTGCCAAGGTCGGACGCTCCTAATCTATAATGCTCTTGCAATATGGCAATGGATGTTTGCTAAATAACTTTCATCAACTGAGCATATTAATATTTATGTTCTCAGGTCACACTTATTCATTCAAAAATGGCACTGGCAGATGGCGGACTCCTTCCCAGAGTCAGGGAGGCAGTGAAGGAGACTCTTACACAGGAGGGAGTGCATCTCTTGTTGGGTACTGAGTTTTGTTATTGGTCAAACATTTTTTTCAAGATCACTAAACCCTAAAGGTGTTTTTTTTTCCAGTGATAGGCAACCTACAGTAAGGTTGCCTGTCACTGAAGGCTCTGGTTTTTGCTGTGCATTTAAAGGGATATGTACTGTATCTGGTCTCTGTGGGACTCAAATAACATATCCCTGACAGATTACCAGAGATCAGAGGCAGATTTATTTGACCTTTTAAAAATTCTATTTTTAAGACCTTGGTGAAAGTAGAAAGAAAATAAATGCTTTGAGCCTAGAGTCATAAAAAAGACATGTGTCATACAAACAATATAGCTTGCAGGTTATTGTCCACCTCAGATCTAGATGTTTCTAGACCAGCTAAGACCTGTTGCATTTGCGTATGATAAATTCAAAATAAGGTACACCTAAAATGTAACAAGTGTAGTGTGTTTAGTTTCTTTGTTAAAATGCACAAGAGCGATACTTAGAAAAGGGGCATAGGTTTTGCTGCTGTACATTTTATAGATTTGTAAGTTTATAGACTTATAGGTCCATCTTCAAATTGAGGCATGTAATGCTTTCTTTTCTGCTTGATGAAAAGTATCTCTTTAAAACTGGCCTGTACATTTTACATGTTAAAGACCTGTGCTGATTCAGGTTTCAACAGTTAAGAATTTGAGTTGGCAGTTCCATTTCACAGATTATGGGAGCACAAGAGATAAAAGTTCTTTAAGGAGTGGCAACAGCTATGATGTGCATGCTTACACATGTTCTGAATACCTTTTCCCTATTGAATTTCGATAGCTATAGTCGTTAGATGTCCTAGTAAACAGCCTTTTTCTTATTTTTTTTTCTAGGTGAAGTATTGTTAAGTTATAAGGGCCATAGAACTGAGTTGTTTTCCCTTTTCTCCAATTTCATGACATTTATCTCCTCTCTTCTGCCTTTGATGATACATCAGGAAGATCAAATAGGGGATGGGGTTGTACAGGTAATCCTCAACTTACAACAGTTCGCTTAGTAAACATTCAAAGTTACAACAGAATTATAAAAAGTGGCTTATGACTGTTGCAGCATTCCCACGGCCACGTGATCAAAATTCAGATGCTTGGCAATTGGCATGCATTCATGTTGATTGCAGTGTCCGGGGGCCACATGATCATGTTTTGCGATCTTCTGACAAGCCAAGTAAGTGGGGAAGCCAGATTCACTTAACAACCATGTGGCTAACTTAATTGCAGTGATTCATGTTAACAACTGTGGCCAGAAAGTTTATAAAATGGGGCAAAACTTGCATAACTGCCTTGCTTAGCAACAGAGGTTTTGGGTTCAATTGTGGTTGTAAGTTGAGGACTACCTATGGTATATATTATAAAGCAAAGCAATTTTGTTTCTCTTCACGCTTGCAAAATATAATAAGCAGCTCTAGCTGAGGCAATTGAAATTAAAGCAGTGGATTAGATTATCCTGTTAGGATGGAAAAAGGAGACGGTAAGGCGTTGCCAAATTAGGAGTTCTATTGGTCTTATACGAAGCAAGAAAAAAGGTAATAGATGATCCCTAAAAAACTGAAAAAGCTTTGAATCCAATGCTTTTTCAGTTTTTTAGGGATCACCTATTACCCTTTTTCTTGCTTCGTATAAGACCAATAGAACTCCTAATTTGACAACGCCTTGCCATCTCCTTTTTCCATCCTAACAGGATAATCTAATCCACTGCTTTAATTTCTATTGCCTCAGCTAGAGCTGCTTATTATATTTTGCAAGCGTGAAGATAAACAAATTGCTTTGCTTTATCATCAGGAGAGACAGATAGCATTAAAGGATAGAAAGCTGGATATTTTTAATTAAAATTAATCAACATGCTCTTAAGTAGGTACCTTAAAGCCAAAGTAGTTATTATACTTTCAAAATTCAGTGAAATACAATGTCTTATTTTTGCTTCTCTTAATAGATCAGAAAGTTTCTAATATCCATATGCTGACCTTAAACCAATTCAAGGAGAACATGATAGTGAAGACTGATAAAGGTACTGAGGTTACTGCTGATCTGGTGATTCTGTGCACTGGAATAAAAATAAACTCTTCAGCATATGGCAGTGCATTCAGTAAGTTAATTTTCCCCCTACCCTTATTCTGTCCACAAATACTTAATTATTGCAGGTTCCACATTCTATTTCAAACCCTAGTTGTTATTCTTTGTCATTCTTTCAGTAATTTTTTTTAAATGATTGACTATCTTTAATTTTAATACTGCAATCTTTTTAAATGAATATTTGGAAGATTATTCACAGGTCCCTCTTTTAGTCAGCCTGCTGACTTGGGCCAGTCATTCTCTCTCAGCCCAATCCACATTACCGGGTTGTTGTTGTAGAGAAAAGAGGAGGAAGGTGTGTTGGATATGTTTGCCGCCTTGAGTTATTTGTAAAAATAGTAAAAGGTGGGATACAAATAAATAAAAGCATTTACTTGAGCCGATATATGTATATATGTATGTATAATGTTAGGGTATAGAAAAAGCATAGCGATCTTTGTTTAAATAGATTTGCTGTAATTGTACAAAGATCCAGCCCATTTTTCAAAATTGAGACTTCCATTGAATAAAGTAGGCAAACATAAAACCACCTCTACCTCAGACATGTCAAACTTGCGACGTCACGTGATGTTGTGCTACGTATCAGAACTTTTTTGCCATTGCCGGCAATGTGATGATGCGTCCGGCCTGCGGGCTGGCAGTTTGACACCCCTGCTCTACCTATTTTATGTGTATCTCAGATTTCAATACTAAAAAATCAAAAGAATGATGATCCATACAATATCAATACATATAGCCTTTTGCTAACATTTGACATTCATACGATGATTTCCTTGTGTCCATGCTTAGGAGACCAGCTGGCAAATAATGGTGCTTTGAAAGTGAATGAATATCTTCAAGTTGTGGGCTATGATAATATCTATGCTATTGGTGACTGCTCAGATGTGAAAGAACCAAAGATGGCATATCATGCTCAACTCCATGCAAACGTTGTAGTGACCAATATTATCAACAGCCTGACTCAAAAGCCTCTGAAAACCTATAAACCAGGTGAGACTATGAATTACATCTTTTGTGCCTTTCAGAAGTGCACATGCAACACAAACATTTCCTTGCATCTAATTCTAACGGTGTTTTGAAGCTAGCATGGCAGAGAGATAATTAGACCTGGTATACTCTTGTGCTGCTGTTTGATACAATATTTTGTTAATCAGTTTCTTAATCAGGATGGATTTTTGTATAGGAAAATAGAATAATGAAATCAATACATAAATCAATTGTTGGCATGGCTTGTTATATGGCTCGTACTCTGTGGCGCAGTGGTTAGAGTGCAGCACTGCACGCTAACTTACTGCTCACTCCAGGAGTTCGATCCTGACCGGCTCAAGGTGGACTCAACCTTCCAGCCTTCTGAGATTAGTAAAATGAGGGCCCGGATTGTTGGGGGGCAAATATGCTGACTCTGTAAACCGCTTAGAGAGGGCTGTAAAGCACTGTGGAAGCGCTGTATAAGTCTAAATGCTGTTGCTATAGTGTTTTACTCAGTATTTATAGAACAGCATTGCTATTTACTAAAATACTCAATTATAAATAGTATGTAGTAGACTTTAAAAAAAAAAAAAAAAAGCAACACCACCCCCGAAAAAACCTCTTTAAGATTCTAAAGAGAAAATTAAAATAATTAATACAAATACTAAAGTTTACATAAGTACTGTTGATACTTCAGCCTGATGTCTTGGCAATCTCCTGAAAAATATTAAGCAAGCCTAATTTTTTTTTTTTTTTAAAGAAATCCATACAAGAATGATAGAAATTGAGTTACTATAGCCAAACGTACTCTGGCAAGTTCAGATGCCGAGTCAGATAACAAATTTTGTTTCTTTTTTTTTTTTTGTAAATAATCTTGTGTTTCCTCTTTAGGATCACTTACCTTCCTGATTTCCCTGGGAAGTAATGATGGAGTGGGACAAATCAGTGAATACTATGTAGGGCATCTCTTAGTGACTGTCCTCAAAAGCAAAGATCTTTTCATCTCAAAAAGTTGGAAGAAGATGCATCAGCAGATGCCATGCTAGAAATGGAACTGCCATAAACAAAAACAGAACCGATGGTACCTGTAATGAATTAGTAATGCTTAGTTTGCTAACATTAAATCATAATTGTCTTTAAGAAACTAAGCAAAAAACCTAGATAGTAGATCTTGGCAGAAACTGTATTTCACATTAGACTTTGGAGTTGGTTTGTAGTTGATCAGCTAACGTGGATATTGTAAAATTGATCTGAATTAAAGTTTGAATGGGAGAACTGATTATCATGCAAGTGTAGAACTCAGAACAAGACTTAGGCTCAAAAATTTTCAATTCCAGATGTATCTACACAGTGCACACATGTTGGGTGTGCTATAGTCTGCATAAGCACTCTTAAATGTTCTTTAGCACTTTAATTCAAATGCTTATGGGAATAGAGTAATGGGAAAATACCAGTACCCTGGTAAGGTTTTGAAAAAAGTAGAACTGTAACTAGCACTAAATATACTAAATATACTATTAAGGGGGCTCTCTGTGCTGAAGCAGTACTTTGTAAAATAGTATTTAATTGTCCTTCCTTCCCTCTCCATCATTTATTCATGCCAGATTCTCTAATATTTGCTTGTACTAGTAAAGTTGAAGAAACCAAAGCCAGCCTTGCAGAGCTGGCAAATACTTCCTTTGGCAAATACTAATTGCAATGTTGAATTTGAGAATATTAACAGAATTGTCTTCTTTTCTTCCAAGAAACTTCTTACTTCTGAAGCCACTTTAACTTTTTATGGAAATGAACAAGAATAATAACGCTCAAGGTTAAAGTTTTAAAAAAGCATGATGCTATTTTTTTTATCAAAACAAATAAGATGAAATATTTCTCAGCAATTACAGGTCATTCTGGGATAAAACAGTAAAGCACCAAGTGAATCAAAATTATCTTCTCCATCATGGAACATAGACACAACATAAAGATTTCTAACTACCAGTGGGAAAATAAAGGGACGCAAACAATCCACATTTTTCAATTGATGGATGCATTGAATTGTTTGCTACTCTATAATGAGATTATTTTTTTAAAAAAAGGTCTAAACTAAAATAACTTGAGACATTAAAATGTAGAGAACTGGGAAAATAATTTCTTGGGGAAGATACAAAATGTAGAGGGCCTAAAGCATGTTATATCTGCAGCTCAAACTCTCTGAAACAATTCCCCCCTTTCTCCCTCAATAACAAAAGCCCTCCACCCATCACAAAACTTCAAAGCTACTCACGTATTCCGTCCTCACAATATTTTAAAAATAAAACCCACTTCTAATTCCCATTCCTACTCATATTCATGTTGAAAAATAAATTTTCATTTGGCTTCTGTTACTACTTTGCATCTAGCTTTGCCATCTCTTGCACATAGACGCCAATGCTCTCACTATCAAAAAGCAGGAAGTAAATGTTCTTCAAGGAAGAAGGACTGGAGTCATCAAAATGGGAAGAAATGGCTTTCAGAGTCACCTGGGCTGCAGTCTGTTTTGGAAAACAATTTCTAAACAAAGAAGGAAAGTTTGTAATTAATGCTCAGTAGCAAAATGTTAGTCTTAAACGTTATAACAATATATAATTGTTGTATGTTGTAAGTAACTAATAAGCTGAATCTTACTTGGGGTACTCACCCTGGGTTTCCACAAATGTTTACTGGGCTCAATGCCAAGTAATGTACAGATTCATCCCTCTAGGTAGATAATTTAAGACCAAGTTTCAGGCCATCCAAATGTAACAGCACTCAAAAGAAAGATGTTAGTGTGGAGTGACTGGCAAAAAGCAGAGGATACGTTGGGAAAAAATGCTGGCAAATAATCCAGTCAAATACAAGGTGGGAAAACGGAAAGCTGAGTTTAGAACAAGTAGATCAAAGTAATCACTGGTACGTAATTTAGAGTCATATCTGACTCTAAAGGGTGATGCTCGTCTCCGTTTCTTAGCCGAGGGAGCCAATGTTGTCCAAAGGGAGTTACGTGGTTATGTGGCCAGCATGACTATACGCTGAGGTGCACGGAACGCAGTTACCTTCCCACCAAAGTGGTACCTATTTATCTACTTGTATTTGCATGCTTTCGAACTGCTAGGTGGATAGGAGATGGGGCAAGTAACAGGAGTTTGCCCCATTGCGAGGCACTCGAGTCTTGAACACGGGCTGACAGTTTCCCAGCTGACAAGCTCAGCATCTTTTAACTGTTGAACCACCACTTTGGAAATGCAGATGCAATCAAAATAAGGTGATCAAAGGAATTTCCATAAAATACTTCTATATGAGCCTATCGGGCCCCAAATATCAGATGGAACATGAAACAAAATTTAGCAGTTGTTATGGCAACTGGAAAAAAAACACCTACTAAATATCTATATATCATGCAGTATAGGAATTTTTCACAGTATATGAAAGAGATACTGGCAAACCTACCAGCTATTTCCTTAAATATGTCACAAAATGTTAAGTAGCATTTTAATGAGTGCCAACAAAGTATGCCGATAGAGGATATCTACAATTTGCATCATAGTTCTTCCCTGAAAAACCTCTGAAGGTTGTTTTTTAAAATACCACATATAAGACCAGATGTTACCAGCTTTTTTGTTAAATGTATCACAAAAGGAATGTACTAATTCTATTAAGACATTTAAATAGTCATTACCTGCCACTGGGAAAAGGTGGAAAAGCCACAGACTTCAGCTTCTTATCTTCAGCAGCAGTTAAACAGTTCTTTATTGTCTCCTCCAATTGTTCTTCACATTTGTCTGAACCCCATTGTGGGATGTGACAGTGAATGACAAATTTTGCTGCTAGACCAGTGGCCTGGCTGAGAGCAGCTGAAGGGGGAAAATGGGTCTATTACCTTAGGCAGAGCTATACAGTTTATATACTACTATATCTGTCTTTCCCATAACCCTTAATTGGCCATTACAGGGCAACCATTTTCAAACCAAGGTACCTCAAATAGGCTAACTTACAGAATGCATCCAAAATCTGGGACACATCACTCCCTAAACCCTAACCCATGGAAAATTGACAAATTTTATAAAACCTTTTATGACATTAAAATGATCACAAAACAATTTATGACATAATAGAAAATGTCATAAAACATTTCCTGTGCTGAGATTTATGCTATCCAGTTCAACATGGGCTATTTTCAAAGCAGATCCACCTCTGAATGTATCCAACTTTTCCAGGAAAGGTAGCACATTAGAAATCCTGTCACTGTCAAAGGCAATGAGAAATCTGGTTAAGGAAATATGGCTGAAAAGATGAGGCAAGAAGGCTCACTTTTTTAAGTATTACTATTACTTTTCCAGCAAAGCTTAAGAGATAGAGATGGACCCTTTGCCATTCAATTCCCCATCCTGCACTGACTTTTTCTCATCAGGAACATTTTTATTTCTTTAAAACATTTGGATGGCCCCCCATCTTAAAACCAAACTCTGAGTGGCTCACAACCAAAGAATAAAACTATATATAAGTTGTCAAGGTTGAGGACCCCTGATATAAGCAATAAAATCATAAAGCAATAACCCCCCAATTAATCAGAAAAACCTGGTAATATAAGCTAGTTTTCCCCCACAACATTTTCCTCTGGCTCCAACCTTATGCCATCCCAATCCTTTTTTTTTTTGGGGGGGGGGGGGAGAGAGCTGGCTCTTACTTCCCAGAAAGTTAAAAAGATAGGAGCTTGCTGGAACTCCATAGGATAAGGGTTGAAATGGAAAAGGCACACTCTCCAGGTCCCTCAAGAAGGCAACATTTAAAGGCAGAGACCTGGAGTGGGCCTGCCTTATTCAATCTGCTGAGATGGGCTGACATTCAGGGAGATGTAGTCCATCAAATAATCTGGTCCTGGCCATGTACGGTTTTAAAGTTGATAAACAGCATCTTGAATTGCAGCTGGGAGTCAGTGCAGCTTGTGCAGTGGGTGAAATGTGATTTAAGAGCCAATACAGCTTGTGGTGTAATGTAAGTTAATGTACAGATGGTTGTGCACACTGCTGCATGAAAGATCAACAAGGCAAAGGTTGCTGATTCGGCTTCAATTTCTACTTTTGGTGCTCACTTTGGAACTGGGACTCTCATGCAATAGGGAAGAGAATTCTGCAGTTTCAGAATCAGGAGTAAAGGTTGTCACTTCTTGTACTTCCAGGATAGAGGTCCCATATATAAATCAGGGTGCAGATTTTTTTTAATCCTTGCCTTCGTGCTTTTCAAAGTGGGAAAGGAAGAACTATAACATAAATATAAATTGGCTTAATTGATTTTATCCTAGCCATCAAGCAACATTACTCCATCGTTGTTTATATAAGGGCTCTGACCTTTCAGTTCTGCCAGGTGAAATAGCCTATATGCTAATGTAGGGCTCCCCAACCATTCTGGCTTGGTGGCGGGGGGGGGGGAGGGAATAGTTCCTTGCGAATGGCATGCTTGTGTGCGAGAGCTCACACAGGTCCATTTGTGTGAACTTTGCATGTGAGCACAAGTGGCTGCCACTCGTGTGAGGGGACCTTCGCACATCTGCATGCTGCCTGAGCAGCCCAGTTCTGAACAGGCTGCAGTCCAGTAGTGGGCTGCGGTCCAGGTGTGGGGACCCCTGTGCTAACGGATGGACCGTCATTTGTTTTTTTTTATATATGGGAGAGAATTAAATTTTCCTTTTTCTTGCTTAAATGATCAATGACCTTACTGCCACTAACTGAGAACCAAATTGAAACTGAAGATGTTCAAATATCAAGTTTAATTTTTTTTTGCATGCAATCCTTTTTCACTCTATTTTTATAGATCGTCCAATAAGGATGCTTCTCTCAAATACTTAAGCATCATTTATATTAATTTGATTGTCCTAATAAAGGCATCACCCACTTACTTTGTACTGATTTTATCCCACAGGCTGGTATTTTTTTAAAATGTGACTAAGATAGATTTTACATAATTAGCAAAGATCTTACCTTCCGTGACTTCCAAAGGTCCCTGTGATTTACGAAGTTCTTTTACCATTTCTAAGAACTCTTTACCACCAGCTTTTTCCAATGCTTTGCCTGACCAAAAAACAAAGGAAGTTATGTTTCTATTGCAGTTCTGAGCAGGTCTTTATGTATACATGCAGAAATACAGATTCCAATTCAATGGTCAATCATTACTTCGGAATTAATTCTCTCATTTCATCCCTGACAATCAATAAAATATTTATCCTCTGTGCCTTATGAATATGTATAAATGATGATTACTGGTGCTATTGTGTATGGAAAACCAGCACTGAGCAGCATGATCTACTTTAGAACAATGTTGTAAAAAGCTTTAAATGCAGTATGGTTAACTTGTTTTATTTCTCCAAACTGGGTATGTTTTTTAAATACTGAAAATTAAAAACAAGAAAAATACTGCTAATAATAAAGATGAACAAAGGTATATTAAAAACTTTTATACATGCTAATTTATAAGATTCCAGTGGGACTTGGAAGCATATACATAACATATTTTTAGTTATCTGCAGTACATATAGTACTTTCAAGAACAATTACATTTCCTACTTTTTAATTCTGATCAAAAACTTTAAAAATGAGTGGATTCAGTAGTTCCTACAGGAAAAAAATTACAGTTCAGAGGTTTCAAGTATTTCTATTTGCTTCAAAATAATTTTAGACTTACCTACTTCCTCTTTGAGGTCTATTTCACCAGTAGTTGGATGCACAATACCTTCTACTTTCATTGAACCAATATGGCTGATGTCACTTTGTGTCAGAGATAACTGCAAAATGCCAATGCAACAAGAGCAAAAACAAAC